TCATGCAGTCCAACCCCCTGCTGAATCATGAGAACTGAGACCATTTCAGACAAATGGCTCTCCTGTATCTCCTTCCAAGCCTCCAGGGAGGAGCACCCATAACTTGGGCATGGAAGCCGTTCCATTGGTCGCTGTCATGAGATTTATTCTTGAGGGCGAAAAATGGGTGCATCACACGGCAAAAGCAAGAGGGAGGGCGGGGGTCGTGCTCATAGAATTATGGGTGTGGCCATGGTCACTCACGACCCGCTTGAACTCCCCTGAGTTTTGGCAGATGATGGAAAAAATGTTAGCCATCAGTGGTCTAGAGTCTAGATCTAGAAGATCTCCAAGATCCCTTCCAACTCTGTTGTTCTGTTATGGACCTCCTGGTGTTTTGCAATAATATTGGAAATCCCCAGAAATCACTGGGGATTTTTGCTTTTTTGTTTCCATGACTAGCCAACAAGGATGGCATTTGCCTATTGGTGCCTCATTCATGTATTAATCTGGATCAACTGTGTTTAAACCAGCACTTTAAAAAATGGTTTCAGAACCTTTGGGATGTTCAGCTGTATAAGTAGTCCTCACCTTTCCAGCTAGACCCTTGTTAAGCAAAATCAGTGCGGATGCCAGCAGAAAGTTGCAAGCTATAAGGTGAACTTGCCTTTAAAAGCCCACAGTGATTTGCTTAACAACTGCAGAGGAACAGATGTAAGTTGGAACGGTCCTATGATATCATCTTCCTGATCAGGCTGCTTAGTGACAGAGATGCCTTTCCCAAATGCAGTCAGTAAGTGAGGACTGCTTGAATAGGAATGTCACCAGAGTGGTTGTGGACAGTATTTTCTGCCCTTTCTTGGAACTGAGGATTTCCATGGCAAAACTGGTGCTTCAAATCAAGCAGAATCTTTAGGCATCATTTTATCAATTAAAGCCCCCACATCTCTAAAATTAGCACAGACGGTTTGACTGAAACCATTATGGGATTTGGGTAGCAAATGGATTTTCCACAGCTTTATATTTGGTATAGAGCTTCGTGCTTGAGCAGGGGTTTGGACTAGAAGACCTCCAAGGTCCCTTCCATCTGTAATTCTGCTATATCCTTCCATTGTTCAAGTATTATATTACATCCAAAGTTCTTTGCCCACTGAATTGTACAATGCTTTACTTACTCATTCTGCAAGCTCAATGTCAGGGTTCCCAGTAAAATCTTCAACCAATGAAGACTCCAAGGTAGGCAATTCCTCAAAGTTCCAATCTATTGAAGATGTCATATTGGCTCATCTGGGAAAACCCNACTATTTTCCAAGGCACCTGAGGGTAGAACAAGAAGCAATGGGTGGAAACTAATCAAGGAGAGAAGCAACTTAGAACTGAGGAGAAATTTCTTGAGAGTTAGAACAATTAATCAGTGAAACAGCTTGCCTCCAGAGGTTGTGAATGCCCCAACACTGGAAGTCTTTAAAAAGATGTTGGGTAGCCGTTTGTGTGAAATGGTATAGGGTGGCCTGCCTAGGCAGGGGAGTTGGACTAGAAGACCTCCAAGGTCCCTTCCAACTCTGGTATTGTATTGTATTGTAATGTACTGAATATCCACAGTGTGGGAAAAGTATCAGTCAGAATTTCAACCTGCTGAACCGCGATCCCGGGGCGTCAATCAAAGAAGGAACCATTCCTATTGGTTCCGACATGAGTGCTGCCCAGCGGGAGAATTGCAGCCATCAGATTGCTTAACCATCTGACAGCTATTTATACCATAGGAGGGAGAGTTGTTCTAAGCTGTTATTGTGGTTGTCAATAAACGTGTTAATGGTTCAAACGTCTCTGTTTCCCTCAGTCACTCAGTACTAAGCAGCTTTGATGACAGGATCTCCACGTTTGTTAGCAAGTCCTGCTGTGATCTGGTTTTCTTGGAGGTGCCTGCTTTTTCCCTTTGATGGCTGCTGGGTGATAGCAGCATGCTAACATATCTATTGTATTTCCTTGGTGGTGGCGATGTGACAAAAAAAATGAACGGAGGAATATTTTAATTTTAATATTTGTTTGTGTAATGTAAGAACAATCAATAGCTTTTGGCAAGGAAAATATTGGGTAGCTTCAGTGCTGCTACGATTGTTAGGACAAAGCAAGGCACTCCGAATGGGCTCTAACTGCCAGCTGTGTAGTGAACAAGTTTAATAATAAACTTAAATAACACAAAACCCTTTTCTCAATTCTTCAGTGATGAGGTCTCCACACATAGAGGGGCTTTCTAATGCTCCACAATTGTTAATCTAGCTGTAATCTGTCTCTTTGGCATTTTGCCCCTCTATAACCAATCTGTCTCCTTCAGCTTCATTTCCCTCCTCATTATAAATTTAAATTAGAAGGTTTCAAACTGGGCAACTAAGGTAGGTTTCCCTTGTAACTTTACAACCCCTAAAGCAGCCATTGGTTGTGCCAGTGGGTTTGTAGCTTTTGAAAATCATAACATTACAGAGGATCTGTCTGACTTCCCTGATGATTCTCCCAGTTCTCAACTGGATCCAACAAATTATGGAAGTCAAGGTCCTTGTGGGTGGAAACAGAGCCAATAGATGAAATGGCCACTAGCAAAAACCTTAGCTTATTAAATATGCATTAAAATGGCAGTACAGCCATTCTAAAAACGTTAACATGGTGTCCAATCAGCCTTGTGCTTTGTTGGAATATTCTATCTTTCCTTTTTGGGTTTTTTC